ACCTTCACACCTCGGGTGTGTCAAAAATTACCGAACACCCTGTATATATATATATATATATATATATATATATGTATGTATGTATACATACAGGATGTCCGACAAGTAAGTGACCAAACGAAAGATGGAGGTAGATTGGATCAAACTGAGTCGAAGAGTCCTAAACTATTTTTTTTATAACGCTTAATAAAGGAGTTATTATTGATTAAGTCTGTCCAATCAGCGCCTTTAGTCGCGCGCTTGGTAATGTGCGTAAGCGCTCCGTCGCTACGGCGACATACATTAACAGGCGAGCGGCTCACCGACGTGCGTCCAGCTAAAAGTCGGCGCTGATGGGCCAGACTTTAATAATAACTCTTTTATTAAGCGTTATAGAAAAAAATGGTACATGACTTTTCTTTTCAGTTTGACCAATCTACCTCCACCTTTTGTTTGGTTATTTACTTATCGGACACCCTATATATATATACCTATGTATGTATGTATGTATGTATGTACACTGTTGGAAAATTTGTGTTAAATTTAATATGTATTGCATAGCCCAAATGATCCACACAATTTTTATGTTAATTTAACATATTATGGATATGTTAAACGTGTGTGTATGTGTGATGATACTAATATTATATTAATATTTCAACACAAAATTAATGTAACTTTTATAGTAATTTGAACTAAATTTTGTGTAAAATTGTGTAAAATATTTTTAATAATAAAATTTAAAAAAAAGTTATTTTAACATTTTATAGTAAATTTTATATGTAATAATTTAATAATAAATAAAAAGAAAGATCAATTGGAGCCTGGACGCGGTACTTAGAGCTCCAATTGGCCTTTTTGTAAAATTTAACAGATAGATCCTGTCACTAATAATACGGAACATATATATCGTAAAATTAAAAATATGTGCACATTGTGTTATTTTCACACTTTTTTCAGTTGCTTTAATAATTTAACATTTGAATTCAATTAACACAACAGCGCAATATGTTAAATTAACACACAAATATGTAAAATATTTAACACAAAACTTTTAACCGGCATATTTTTTAACAAGAAAACACAAATTTTCCAACAATATATGTATGTATGTATGTTATGTGTACACACATACACGCACACATACACACGCACGCACACTTGCACGCGCACTCATACACACACGCGCACCCACAGAGAGAGAGAGAGAGAGAGAGAGAGAGAGAGAGAGAGAGAGAGAGAGAGAGAGAGAAAGAGAGAGAGAGAGAAAGAAGAAGAAAACAATTTATAATTAAATGCTATTAAAAGCGAATTATTTTTTATTTTGTTTAAAGATGTTATACTAAAAAAAAAGAATGATATAATAATTAAAGACTTACTTTTTTTAAAAAGGTAAAAAAGAACGCCAAGAACACGCGCCAGCTGCGAAAAATGTATATTATTGCAAAAAACTGTTTTACAAAATAATGTTATTTTAATCTGTACAAAACAGTTATTTCATTAAAAAAAAATGTTATATTAGAAACAAATTGTAGTGCAAAACAGTTGTTTCAATTTCCTACAAAAAAATGATGTAAAAAATTGCGGCAACTAAGAATAAAACCTTATGCTAATTTATTTCTTTTTTAAATAGAAACATTTTAACCAAAAACACTGTAATACAAAATAGTTCTGATTTCCTATAAAAATAACAATATTAAAATTTTTAAATTTATCCAAAAATTAAATATTGAAAATTAATACAAAATAAAAAAATAAAATTTTTAATTAAAAAACTTGACGCTGCTTAGCTGAATAATATGTTAATGAAATTGGCAACGCCGTTTTTTTAATTAAAAAAACACAAAATATTTTATTTATTATTTTGAATTTACTTTATACAGATTAAAATAATACTATTGTGTAAAACAGTTTCTTACAGTAATATACGTTTTTCACAACTGGCGCGTGTACTTGGCGCTTTTTTTTACCTTTTTTTAAAAAGTAAGTTTTCAGTTATACACATTTACATAAAGACATAAATTCACATATACCGCTATGCAAACTTTTTAGTCATTTTCGAATCATTGTAGAGTACAGTTCGTAATATATTTGCAAATTTTGTGAGATACCACCCACTATATAAACTTGATTGCTTTAAGCGTTATCACACCATTAAAAAGTACTAAAATATATATGTAAGCTTTCATAATATACTAGTAAAGACCAATTTTTAATAATTTTATTTGCCATTTTCATATAATACAGGGTGTCCTGAAAACACCGTACTTTCTCTTAATGGCAGATTCCTTAGAACATTTCAAGACGAAAATCCTAATATAAAAATGTCGAGGCTTTAATAGTTTTTAAACGGGAAGCGATTGTATTTTACGAATGACAGGGCTGAGATTTTGCGTGCTCAGGCACGTCGAAATGACAAGTGAAAAAAGTGCTTCTATGTGTTATAATGGAGCGCTTTTTTTATAATATTATGATTATCGTATAAATTTACAATACGCATTGCATTAATACATTCTTTTTACGAATAATGGATGCAAGAAGGCATCTCAAAAATGATACAAGTAAAAATTTGCGACATGTTTCAACTTCAGCTGTCAAAGTGGTCGATTAATGTTACCATGAAAGTGTTTACTATTTCGCCGTGCCTGAGCGCGCGAAATCTCAGCCTTGCCATTCGTAAAATATAATCGCTTCCTGTTTAAAAACTATTATAGCCTCGACATTTTTGTATTAAAATTTTCGTCTTGAAATGTTCTAAGGAATCTACCATTAAGAGGAAGTACAGTAGTTTTAGGATACCCTGTATAAGAGCTAAATATAAAATAAATTTTTAATAAACTTTATTTTTTAATAATATAGAAAAATGAATTTTATTTTCAAATTTCAATATACTTAATTTTCAAATTATATAAACTTTATGAAAGTTTAAGATAAACATATTATTAAGCGCTGTTCGAAAAAAAACTGTGCGGAGTTATGTCTAACTCAGGCATTTGTTAAAGTGTTAAGTATTTAATTAGATCAGTTGTTTGTGTTACATAAAATTTAACTACGAGAAAACATATATGTTGCATTTATGACTGGGAAATTACAAGTAATCGGTAACTTACCGATAACACTTATGTAATAATTATCTGTAATATTTAGTTCTATTGCACCTTGTAATATTAATATAATTGTGTTTACTAGGCGTGTTCTATTTTTGCCGTGTTTTTGCCATCACGTAATGGCAAGACATGCTCTATTTCTGCTGTTTTTACTGTATTTCTGCTGTCAGTACTTATAGTACTTAATATGATAAATTAGATGTTGCATTTAATTTTTATTGCGTTTTATAGCGTGATGGCACATCATGCTTGATTTCTGCTGTTTTTCTGCCGTTATTATTCAATATGACAAACTTTACTTCATAATTGCTACGTATTTGTTGCTACAACGTGATAGCAAACAATGTTAAATTTTTGTTGCATTTCTATTGTCATATCAGCAAGCTATGTTACGAGAAACTGAGCTTACTGAGAAAGCAGTGCACCGAAATCTGCTGCAAAATCATGATTAAATTTTCTAGCATACTACTAGTATTTTTCTATCTGGGTATGTATATGTGTATACATACCCACACATAGAAGATATTTTAAAATACACTGATAATGCATTTAAGAGTTAATAGAAAAATGATAAAATATAAGCATTTTTAAAGCAGCAATTCGAATCCGGAAATGTCGTGTTTTTCTACTACAGAACAATAAAGGTATATCAAAAGCATTTTTGAAACAGATTTTATAAGTAAATTTTATAAGAAATTTCAACTTTTTATCACAAAACACCGGGATTTGTGTATTTTCGAATTTGGCGCGTTCGAATTATCATCGATAATTTGTATCATATATGTCATCTATCTTTTATTTCTCTTGACATTTTTAAATGAAGGAACTATAAAGTTTTTCTTTGCCCACAAATGTAATTGTGTAGTTAACACATACACACCAACACACAAAACAATATAAAACATAATACTCACAATATGAAATTAACATAACATAAATTTATTTTGTTTTCTCACTTTATATTAATAAAAATTAAATTGACTTGATATTACAATGTTTATTTATTTCTCCTATTTTTTCATATAATACGGTGCAAACCTGGTAACCTAAAGTCTATCTTCCTCAAAATGCATCTAATAGTATTTAATTACTATGTAGCAAAAACATTACATTTTTAGGCATAAGGTGCCGCTTCAAAAATTCTTATTTTATCACCCTCTATTAATTCTTAAGGGTTGTTGGTGTTATTTCGAAACACCCCGTGTATGTGTGTGTGTGTGTGTGTGTGTGTGTGCATATATATATATGTATGTATATGTATATATAAATAAACCAACATTCATATAATTTCCCTATATTGAAACTATGAAATTGACATATTGACAGAGAAACTGGGAGAAGAGCTATATTTGAGTATCCTTCTCTCGTTGCACACACAATCGTTGCTGAATACAGTACTTCATCAGTATCGCTACTGATCGCTACCTTAGAAAAAAAGAAAGGCGGATACTCAAAAATGAGTCTCTAACAATTTTTCTGTCAATTTCATTCTACAGATCGAATGCTTAGACTATGTTCTGTGATTACGTTTACATGTCAATCGGGTTTAATAACATCCGTAGTTTTAAAAATGGCCAATCACAGCTATTCCTCTGACAAATGGAATGATTGTGATTGTCCAGTTTTAGAACTACGAATGTTATTAAACCCGATTAAGAGTAACGTGTAAACGTACGTACGTATGTATGTATGTATGTATGTATGTATGTATGTATGTATGTGCATGCGTGCGTTCGTGAGTATGTGTGTGGGTTTACCACCTTCATATCGTGATAATCCGGATTATATCTAATACATTATTTTCTCTTGTTTTACTTCTCTTCTTCTTTATAATTGTTTCATAGAAACAATAATGCTAAATTTATTTTAAAAAGGTAATTTATAAACATATGTGTATATGTGTGTGTATATGTATCTGCGCGCGTGTGTGCGCAATATTATTTAATGACGATAAAGTCACGCAAGTAACAGCCGCACTGTAACGATGGGTAAGAGAACTGTAAGACTTAACGACGAAAAACTAACAAGACGGTTGGCATCGCCACAGAATTTAATCTCCATCTCTTCAGGATGGTAGTTTATACATTTTGGTGGTCTTCGTCGATACAAGCGTTCTCTCCTTGCCGTGCATGCTCCAGGTTCTGTCAATGCCTCGATAGGTTCAATACTCAACTGTTTACTGCCGCATGGACACAGCGTATCAACTACCAGCAATATCAAATTAGTGTGACGAATCTTTTGAACGCTGAACGGTCTACGAGGCAAAAACAAAAGAAAAAATATATTTGTTAGATCGAAAATTTTCTGATTTATCTTTGGAAATAGATGTACGTTGTAATACATTTATAAGCAATAATTTTGAAAATTCAGAAAAATTTATTTCAAAAATGTGTGTATAGTATGTGTGCGTGATCGTTATAAATTACCTTTCGCATCCAGTAACGTGACAATTAGTGAGCTTTCCCTTCAAAGGATTACTCTGCCCACTGGTATTAAGCCGTTCAGGTTGCAGAATGTACAAATCTGTTTTCTTCTCACAGGAGCGCAATTTTCGGGGATAATGCGCGGAAGTGGCTCGAGTAGTTGGTGGCGAGGCTGGCGCAATTATCGGAAATCTCATAAACATGTTCTCGTCCGATGTTGCCTCCTCTGTCGAATCGACAGGGGTAAGTGAATCGAGATCGTGCGTTTCACCATCGTCCGTGAATATCAAATCGTCTGGAAAAAATTAATACAATTTCTTGAATTAATGAAAATGATAATGGACCTAAATTATCAGATCCATTCTATGAAAACAGACTATTGCAAGGGCAAACATTTTCCCGAAAGAGCATTATCATATACAAATTTTTCAATCTATTTAAAACATATTTTTTATTAATATTTAATTAATCCATGCTTCAATTGTGATTTACCGCTACTATTAGATAATTATATCCTGCATTTTTAACATTTTAATAACTGTGAAATTATAGATTCTATATAATTACCATCTAATTTAAAAATGTTCTCAATTAAAATGGTTTTTAAAACAAATAGTTTTTTTGTGCAGCAAAAACTACATTTATTTTGTTGATTTTGCATAAATCAATGCGAGTAATCAAACTTTGATATTTCTAACATATCGAAATCAAATAACTTTTCTATCTTTTCTTCGTTTTTATATCTTTTATCATATATTAGGTCCTAATTTTATTTTACTATTACATTAGCAAAATGAAAATATTGTTTCTATTGATAAATAAGGTTGGGTGCGTGTGTTCTGTGTAAATACTTATTTCTTGTATAATATATATTTTACATTTTTCGCTCGCGTCACTTTTTTTCATTCCATATGTGATTATGTGATAAATGTAAAGTAGTAAAAAAATAATGCCAGAAAGTATTACAAATAGCTTTCAAAGACTAGAAAAAAATGAAAATTAGAAAGCGCGCAATATAAATAATAGATCCAAAAATTTATAACATATAAATAATTCAGTAAATATTCACATTAAGTCAACCCCTTTAAAAGTCAATGACCTTAACATATGTTGTCAAGGTCATGATCTTGAGTAGCATCCAAGAAGTTTTAACTGTCGCTCGTTGCTTGTTAAAAAGTTATTAACAATTAAATTGTACGATAAGAACAAGTATTAAATGCGAAAATCTGAACTTCTTCGGTTAAAAAGAAACTATGAATTTTATATTAGTTGTATATTTAAGTATTTATGTAAATGCGTGAGCGAGGGAGGGACGCAGCTCCTCCTCCTGCACCCCCCCCCCAAAAAAAAAAACTTATCTAACCCAAATCTCATTTTTATTTAAAAAATAGAAATTGGTTTGGATTAGGTTAGTTTTTTTGGAAGTGGGAGTGCAGGGGTAGGAGCTCTGCCCCTTCCTCGCATTCATTTAAATACTTAAAAACGTTTTTTTCATATGAATCATGCGTGGTTCTTTAAATATTCTGTGCACAGTTTTTTTGTATTAAAAATTTTATCATATTCCGAGAATTTTTTGAACCTACTATATATGTACGAAGCTTAAGAATACATATATACTGAGAATACAGGGATTTTATTTATAAATGCATTTATGAGATACTACCATCCAACGAATGCATTGCATTGTTAGCAAATGTCAATGTCGTTCGCCAGAAATCTTGAATATTGAGGCCTAAAACCAGAGTCCAAAGAAAATTGCCAAATGCCGCCGCTGTTTTTATAATAGAGTTGGATAGAGTTCGCGGCGCTGACGATTGATGAGATTCTTGAGGGCTACAAGTTCCTTGATAATCAATAACAGTTACTTTTCTGAAACATTGCACAAACAAAATACATTAATAGTAGTGAGATTAAATATCTTACAAATTAGTTCGAATGTGTTTGTGTAGTTTTGAACTCTCTACCATTACTATAAAAAATAAAAGCAGTACTTGCAAGTAGATTCGGATCTTGACGAGATAGGTCTTTATGACTATTTAAAAAGATAAGAGCAATACGTTCAAATAGTATCAAATCTAAATGGATCCGCATTTTCTATTTCAAGTTAAAAATCTCACATTTTTTAAATCAAATTATTTTATGATAATCGTAAAGCAACACACATACAATCTCATTTAAATATACCATATTTAAAAATTTGATTTGGTTAAAGGAGTGCGAGAAAAGCGAAAGTGTAAGAACGAAAGTTAAATAGTCAGACTATATTTTTACGATTAGAGAATAGGAAGCGAAGAAGAGTAAAAAGAAAAAATAACGGGAGGGGAATGACGAGATAAATGATGAAATACAGATAATAGATAATAAGAATTATATAGGGAATACAAGAGGCAATTACGAATAAGTACAAAAATTTAGATTAAGAGAAAGAAATGGCAGGTTGCGGATAGCAGAGAATAGAAGAAAAAAAGCAACATCGATGAAAGAGATTCAATATTAAAAAAGAATGTCGATGATGCCGAAAAGGAAAACAGGGTGTTTATTCAACTTTTATAAAAAAATTCTCTAATCTTCCAAGTATTTTTGTTCAAAATTATAATAAGAAAATATATTAAAGATTTTTTGGTGCAACTTTTTAAAATAAGTTTTTTTATTATATACATTTTTTTTGTTTTTTACTCATATAAAAGAAAAATATAGAGCTTCTTAAGTTTTAAGTGCTAAATTTGCAGTGAAGTGCTAGAAATGCAGTGAAAGAAACGAATATCTTTCACTTACACATAACGTTTTCATTTTTTATTGCTAAAAATTACAATACACGGTATGTATTACATATTTAATATTTTGTTAAAATATTGAATATATATAAACAAGGATAATTTTTTTTTAAATTTCCATTTTTAAAGAAAATCCCAATAAAATTCCATGAAAATTTCCTGATTTTTCCAGGTACAAAAGAAATCCCTGAGAATATTTCAGGTTTTCCATGTTTTTCCAGAGAGTAGACTGAAAAAGACTGAATATTACGAGCTGAATGAAATTGAAAAAAAAATTATGCTGATGGAAGATAAAAGAATAAAAAAGGAAAAACAGAAAAGAGAGAAGACAGAGAACGATTAAATTTAATAAATATTAAAAAATGATACAAAAAAGCTTTAAGAAGCAAATTGCGAATATATGCATATACATATCTAAATTATAAATCTCAAAAGTTCTTAAGACTAGAGTAAAAATAAACAAAATTCTTACTATTAAATGTTTCAGTCCTCGACTAGACCCTCTTCAGTAAAGTTATGTGATACACGTAAACTGAATTACGTGTTTCAAAATTCAGATGGTTAAAAATATAAAATTGTAACTTCGGTTCTAAATCGCATGTCCTACTACTGGATATCTCCAGCGAAATGCCAAACGAGGTTGAAATTTATCACCCACCACAGAATTTTTTCAAGAACTTGTGGGAGAAATTTTAATAGATTCCGACGAGAATCTGAAAAAAACGTGGTTACGTGACGAAAACAACAGAATAATAAAAATTGATATGCTAATGAAGAGCCCATTGCAAAAGTAGATAAAAACTGTCAATCGATGAGAACACAGAAAATTATCATGCACGTTCAACTACCGATAATCTAATGAGGTCAAAGACGCATATAAAAATTAAGAGCGATGGAACTCCAAGATGTATATAAACATCGTATATTTGACGCAAGACAAACATACTAGATTTAAATCTTATTGAGAATTGAAATCTTAATGATCGGTAAATAAGAAGAGTGCAACAATTCAGTATCGTCCTGCAGGTTGAGACTGAATTTTTTACTTTTAATAAATAACATTTCAAACGTCAACCTTCTTGCATAGCAAGGCTCCTCATCAAGAATTTATATATGCCAATCACAATCATGATCTGTGTTAATTCTATGATCAGTGATTACTGAGTTGTGAGTATGTGCGCTTTTAATATGATTGTGATGTTCCGAAATATGAGTCTTAAGCAATCTCTTCGTTTGGCCCACATATGATGCATCAAATCCGTTGCAGTTAATTTTGTAAACGACATTATTGTGAAGCAATTGAGGAAATGGATCTTTGTGTACTTTAATGATATTTTTTAGGTTGTCGAGTCCAATATAAGACAAGCAAAGACCCGCATTCCGGACAATCGAATTGACTTTTCCCGATATGGATCTTATGTATGAATGAGGAGAAACGGTTGCGAGTCAGATTCCAAGGTATTTTTAATGCGACTATTGTTTAAGAAACTATTTTTACGATGGAGGAGATAATTCAACCTATGATAAATAGTTTCAAAAATAAAATGTAAAGGATAACAATTTTCCAGTAAAATCTTTATGATAAATTCAAGATATTTTTGATGGTACTTGAGATGGGAAAGCAAAAAGGATCGATCTACAAGGCCAATTATAGTACCTCTTTTTTGGCACAAGAGAGGCTGGGAAAAAAAGTTTAAATATCTCCCTGAGAAAGTAGATTTGTGGTATTAATAAAAAAAAGACGTCCTTCTTGAGAAATAATTGTGACGTCTAAAAAGTTAAGGCGATTATATGCGCCAACCACCATCGTAAATTGCAATCTAAGATGAAACGGATTGAATATGTTAGGTACTGAATCAAAAAACGGGGAAAGAACAGCCAAAGCTATGTCGTTAACATATCTGATATAGAAAGGCACAAAAATAGGGAGTCTGTCAAGAGCTTTCGATTCTAAATCCTGCAAGACAATATCTGCTATTATCGGAGATAACGGAGAACCCATGGATGTGCCAAAGGTTTGTTTATAAACTTTGTCGTTGAAAATAAAAAACGTGGAGTACAAAACCATTCTCACAGCAATCATGAACTCGTTGTAAGGAATTTTTGTATTTATAGCAATTAAATTCCATCGCTTTTCCATACCCTCAACAGCCAGTTCGAAAGGAACATTTGTGAATAATAAGACAACATCGAGACATATAAGTTTATAATGTTTGTCCATAGTAATCGTGAAAATTTTTCTATGAGGTGGAAACTATTATTAACATGGCTTTTAGGAGGTGGAATACTTTTTCGTATAATACTATGAAGATTTTTGTCTGCCGACGATTTCCGGTAAAGATAAAATAATTACACAGTTCATTAAACATATTGAAAATAATGTAGAAAAAATGAAAAAAACATATTCGATTGTTATAGGGAATCCAATTAGCAAAATTGTTTCGGATTTACACAACAGGTTGACGAGGTGGAGAGACCGAAAATTCATTACTGTTCCTACCTATAAGTGCTTACACTCCGACGCCTCCGTTTTGCCTAGAGCTTATGGGTTGCCAAAAATCCATAAAAAAGACAATCCATCTAGAATTGTCTCTTCTATCAATAGCCCTCTCTACTCATTAGCTACTTTCCTTGATAGTATTATACGAAAAAGTATTCCACCTTCTAAGAACCATGTTAATAATAGTTTCCACCTCATAGAAAAATTATCCACGATTACTATGGACAAACATTATAAACTTATATCTCTCAATGTTGTCTTATTATTCACAAATGTTCCTTTCGAGCTGGTTGTTGAGAGTATTGAAAAACGATGGAATTTAATTGCTATAAATACAAAAATTCCTTACAACGAGTTCATGATTGCTGTGAGAATGGTTTTGTACTCCACATTTTTTATTTTCAACGACAAAGTCTATAAACAAACCTTTGGCACACCCATGGGCTCTCCGTTATCTCCGATAATAGCAGATATTGTCTTGGAGGATTTAGAATCGAAAGCTCTTGATAGACTCCTTATTTTTGTGCCTTTCTATATCAAAATAGTTGACGACATAGCTCTGGCTGTTCCTTCTCTGTTTTTTTATTCAATACTTAACATATTCAATTCGTTTCACCTTAGATTGCAATTTACGATGGAGGTGGACGCATATAATCGCCTTAACTTTTAGACGTCACAATTATTTCTCAAGAAGGACATCTGTTTTTTGATTGATACTACAAACCTACTTTCTCAGGAAGATATTTAAACTTTTTTTCCCTAGACTGCAATTTACGATAGAGGTGGGCGCATATAATCGCCTTCACTTTTCAGACATCACAATTATTTCTCAAGAAAAACGTCTGTTTTTTTATTGATACTACAAACCTAATTTCTCAGGAAAATATTTAAACTTTTTCTCCCAGCACATCCCTTGTGCCAAAAAAACAGGTACTACAATTGGCTTTGTAAATCGAGCCTTTTTTCTTTCCCATCTCATGTACCATCAAAAATATCTTGAATTTATCATAAAGATTTTACTGAAAAATTGTTATCCTCTACATTTTATTTTTGAAACTATTTATCATAGGTTGAATTATCTCCTCCATCGTCGAAATGGTTTCTTAAACGATAGTCGCATTAAAAACACCTCGAAATCTGACTCGCGTTTATTTTTCCTCATTCCATACATAAATTCCATATCGAAAAAATTCAGTTTGATTGTCCGGAATGCGAGTCTTTATTTGTCTTATACTGGACTCGACAACCTAAAAAAGATTATTAAAGTACATAAAGATTCACTTCTTCAATTGCTTCACAATAATGTCGTTTACCAAATTAACTGCAACGGTTGTGATGTATCATATGTGGGCCAAACGAAGAAAATGCTTAAGACTCGCATTTCAGAATATCGCAATCATATTAGAAGGGCACATACTCAGAACTCAGTAATCACTGACCATAGAATTAAGTCACGATTGTGATTGGCAGCATATACAAATTCTTGATGAGGAGTCTTGTTATGCAAGAAGGTTGATGTTTGAAATTATTTATTAAAAGGCAAAAATCCAGTCGCAACCTGCAAGACGATACTGAATTGTTGCATTCCTCTTATTTATCGATCATTAAGAAGCTCA